GAGCCATGAAGTCTGCTTAGCAAGGCAGGACGATCAGTCTAGACAACCCATGGGCAGAGAACCTTGATGGAGCTCCTCAGGTTCCAAGATACTCAGCACAGTCAGCTCTGCTGGATAAGCGCCCAGCAGCATTCACATCCCAGCAGCCTGGAGGAAGAAGGGAGTAATTTATTCAGTTGCAGAGCTTGGGGTGGGTGTTTTCATTCCTCCTTTGGTCTTCCTGGAAGAGTGGTTGGACTCATTTCCTCTGTGTTGGAGTGGTCACCCTGAGTTCCCAGTACAGTCAGCGAAGGGAAATGGGTACAACCCAGCTCATCCGTGGGCAGATGTCTAAATAGGCCAGATGAACTGTCCCACACATGTCCAGAGTGCCAGGACACGAACGCAGCTCAAGATGAAGGGGCATTCGTCACTCAAACCCAGTGAGCTCAGTTCAGCTCTGTGACCCTTCCAGCTCACCTTCAAGGAACTTCTCCATCTTGTGCTTCACAAGCTGCCTTGCTATGGGCACAAAAGTCCATGGCTACCTGGAAGGGCCCCCCCCATGGAAAAGCTCAGACCAGGCAGACATCAGCTAATGGAATGAGGAAAATGTTTCACCAGGATCAGGGAGAGCCATGCAGTGCCAGGCACACGATGGGCCTTGCCCTGCTCAGTTTTGCCCTGCTTGGTTTAAGCTCGTCTGGTGCTGGGAACCAGCCCTGGACATCTGTGCCCAAGTTGGGGCACATGGGGTCTGTGGTTACAGACGGCAGTGACAAACACGCACCAGCTCGGTGCTGGGAGTCTCTGATGTCCCATACAGCCTCTCCTGACACCAGTTCTGGTGGTACTTCGAAATGACAACATTTTCTGGATCTTTGTTAAAGCCCTTCTCACCTGTAGATCACGTTTCTCTTCCTTCCAGCCCACCATGCAGCTCCTTTCAAACAGCGGCTTCTGCCACTTGCATCTCACCCACCTCTCCGCAGGGACTGAGCTGGTCAGGGTTGCTTGCTGTCACCCAGCCAGCAGCATGGAGAGGCCAAGGCCACCACTGCCAGGGGGTTGTCGCCCCCTTGGCTGTGGGTTTATCCCCGCTGCCGTACAAAGGGCAGCCACAGAAATTGTCCATGTGGGGTTACATGAAGCAGTCACGAGGACCAGAGATGGTCCCATGGGTAGGACCACATGGAAGACCCCAACAGGTTTGTTGAGGGCAGTAGTTCCCAAGCCTGTAATGTCTCATTCTCACAGGAGGGCCAAAAAATCATCCCCCCAAAATATCATTCACCATGAAATGTAGAGGAATATGGGTGAGGCTCAGGTTGGTAGCAGGTTGCCAACTGGCAGCAGGGAGGTAAGGAAGAGGTCGCAGAGGTAAAGCACTAAGATTGGGGCTGGATAATCTGGGGGATGGAGAATGTAAAAGGGTTGGTGTCATTCAGCTGCATTTCTTGCAAGAATTGGGTTTTGCTCAATCAAATATTCTTAAATGGAAAGAGCTCTTAGGAGAGAGCCACCATGACCCCACAGAACCTTTCTGACTGCTTTAAGGCACGAATGAATGAATTAAAGCAATCACGGAGCAAAGGTTAACCAGTAGCAAGTACATCTTAAGAAATAAGTAGTCTTTTAAAAAGCAATTGCTCTTGTCAATTTTCACCCTCCCCCTTTTTCTAAAGTGTCTTTTATTTCTCCAGCTCTGGAGACCTTCCAAAATAAGTTCAGTGATTTAGAGCAGCTGCCAAAAGGACCAGACTGAGTCAGTGGCAGCAGCCAGGCTCACGGGAGCAGAGAGGACCGGACCCGTAATTGTCACAGAGGCTTGGTGCGCTACAAACATCCCAGGGACTGAAAACCTTCCAGGGGCGTCCAGCCTAATTAGAGCAGATGGAGGCCGCAGGAACAAGCAATTGCTAACAGTTGCATTGGAGAAGAGAGGAAATGAAGCAGGAAAGTAAGGAAGGGACTGACTCTGAAGCGTTTCTACAGAAGCAATGAGGCTCCAGCCTGAGTGTGCAGGCATAAAGCGATGCTTTGAGCTGCTCCCATGCTGTGTCCTGCTTGCAGATATGTTCTTCTTTCTTCTTGCACCCAACAGTGGAGTTGACACCAAGACTGCCCACATGGGCAGCAGCCACAACCTCATTCACACGTGTACACATTCCCCCAACCAAGCCTGCCCTATGCATCACCGTCATGGTTGACTTCTTGCCCTTGTCAACTTTCCATGCAAGTGTCAACTAAAGAAAAGAGCTGGCATACTGCGGTGGCCCCAAGAGCTTTCTCTTGGCTCCAGACCTGCAAAGGATGAGTCCCAGGACAGGGTTTCTCATTTCTCTCTTGCTACAGCACCACGTGCACTCACATAGACTACAACTGCCCAACCATGAGAAAGGACCTGGGCCAGGAGCGTGGAGAGTTCATCCTGACCCTGAGAGCAGGTCTTCATCATACTTAACACGGCATCTTCCCTGGGGACACCACAAAGACCTGCAAGACAAACTATGGCAGGAGTAGGACAAGTGTGAGACAAGGACATGGGTATGTTCAATCTGTTCGACTCTCTAATGTATCACTGTTTCTTCTTCCCTCCTTTTTCCTGGAGAGGACAAGAAACGCAGCAGATGCCAATGTCCTGTTGGTGGGAAGAGTCACAGGGAACACGAGCCAAGGCCACTCTCCATTTACTGGGATCTTGTAAAACGTCAGCCCCTCAGCCCCCAACAAGCAGCCAGCTGTGAGTCTTCCTTGAACACCCCTGGGAGAGCAGTGTCCAGCACATGAAGAACAGGATGAGGACAAGATGCTGAAGAGATGAGCACCTCCAGGCAGCCTGCTCAGCTCTCTTGTACAAGGTGTCCGTAGCTGGAGCAGAGGTTGCAACGTGGAGCCAAGCCCCTCCTGCCCTCAGGGCTCATCCTGCCATGAAGGCATGACCCAGGGCACATCACAGGTTGTGTCTCCCAGCTGCCCTACCCACACCAGCTCCCTTTCTTTCCTTCCAGTAAGATCTGGAGCCCAATAGATCTCCCCAACTTCTTATCCTATCTATTCTTCTAAAAAGTAGCCCAAGACCCTCATTTATCGCACACCACAGAGGTCTCTGGGGCAGCCCTACAAGCCAAACCGTAGGTGGACACTCCAAGATGAGGTCCAGACCTTCTCCTTCTAAATACCCCAAGACGTTGGGATAAATAACCCAAGACGTTGCACAGCATTGCAGTCTGCAGGGAGCAACCAACACAGAGCTCCCTCCAGCCTGGCCTCAGTGCAGAGCCACCGAGCTGGGACTTTGCCACTGGGCAGGATCTGCTCCACACTGCGAGGAGACGGGAACACACGTGTCTCAGACAATGGATGGTAATTTCTGAAGCCGTTTGCACACAATAAGAAACATTTGCCTGAAGGAGGGCTTCTGGGCTCTCACACGGCAAGGAAATGAAGAGCGCATTATCAAAGGGCCACAAACTTTAAAAAAAATTATTTCTCCTATTTTGGTTGATACTTTATCACACTAAGCACGACTGTACTGTAACAACTTGCACAGAGGCGCTTTGTAAGCTGCAGATAATCTCGCAACAAGCTACCAGTACCGAATTTAAAGAACCGCATTTTCATCACCAGAAATGACACATAAAGCCCAAAAGACACCATCCGGTCACCTCCTCGGTCCAATGTCGTGTCATACAAAAGTCATAGGACTGGTCATTAAACCCGGCTTTGTATTTCTCTGCAAAAATTTCAAATTGCCCTGGAAATCTTGCACACCTCTTAAACATTTCAATAGCAAAGTTGGAAAGGAAACGAGAGCTTTGGCTCCCTTCACATTCACAACACTTTTTTAATTAAAATCCAGCTGGTCCCATGGTACTTTCTTTTTCTTTCTTTTTTTATTTCTTTGTTAAATGCAACTTAGAAGCTTTGAGCAGCTGTAGGAAATTACTTCCTTTCTCTCTCACCCTTCCACCTGGTATCACATGCTGGAGGATAAGTCCTGAGAGATGCTATACCGTGAGATCAGGATTTCCAAGGAAAGCACAGTAAAGGAGGTGATGTACACCATGGAATGGACTCTCAGCTAATCAAAGTTTGCACTGTCCAACCCAAAGTTGGCTGATGCTGGTCCCCAGGTTCACAACCCCAGCTGAGCGCCTGACCCTGAATTAAAATTCAGTCTTTCCTGGACGTTAAAGTTCCTCTGTTTCACTGTTAATCATGGTTGTGCCTACAAATAGTGTAGAAGCATTTGGACAACAACAGCCAGGGCCAAATCCTGCTTTCAGCTGTGAGCCGAGCTGCTCTCCAGTTGCCCATCAAAACTCCCAGGGTGATGTGCAACAGCGGGGCAAACGTTGGACCAGAGGGTTGCTTGCAGCCTTTCCAACCAGGTTCTGATTATTTACAGCTGTTCCCAGATGTTACTCTTTCATGGGTTATTTGTTCCCGAGTCGACCTCCCCATTCACACGCTAGGCGAGCTCAGGGGAAGAAAGAGAGGGGCTCCTTTCTCCCTTTTACTATGGAAACAGCCCTTTATCCCAAGAATTGCAAATGCTCGGCCACCGTTTCCCTCCCACCGCCGCCCCGGCTACAGCAACCCCACTAGCCACCCACCGCTCACGTCTCATCCCAGCTCCCATTTCTCCCCTCAACAGGTCACAACCAACTCATCTGGTGTGGACCCCAAGAGTGAAGCCGGACTGCTGAGCACCTTCTCCTCCCCAAAAATTCATCAGACCCCCCCCTGCTCACAACGCTCCTCTTTTGTTACTGGTTCTCCCCATTCTCCGGCTCTTCGGGCTTTGTTTCTCACTGCAATCCAGGCAGGAGCCGGGTCAATCACCCGCTTTTCCATCCCAAGCAACAAACTCAAAAGTCCAAAGAAGAAAAAAAGGAAAAGTCAAAGAAATCCACCCCCCAGGAGCCAACTTTTAGGGCAGGCAGGAAAGAGCAGGCAGAGGTGCATTTCACCGGGCAGGAGCATCTATAAGAGTTAGGAGAGAGGAGGTAACTTACCTCGCCGGGTTGCACATGGAGGGGTTATTTTTGCTTTCTGCCACACTTGGGTTGCTGTGTCCTTTGCTTGTGACACTCCAGGACCCGAATGGTGGCACCGCTGTGTGACATCCAGTATTAGAGAGGCTGCTGGAGCCGTCCCTCCCACGGTAGGAGGGGCCACACGGGGCTTAATAAATTCAGTCCCCAAGGCTGGAAAAATTAAAATCTCATCATGGGACACGGGCAGCTGCTCACCGCATGGCTCTGGGAGACGCCGGGGACTTGCGGGCAGACCTGGGTTTGATTCATCCCTTGTCCGCCCAGAACAGGAGAGGCTGATACTCAAATCCTGCCTTGGTAGAATTAGGTGTCCAAAGGATGGGGTCCAAGGAAACATCCTAAAGGAGATTTGGGCAAGGTGTGTCATTGCTAACCCTCAGAATTAAAACTCCTGAACCTCCTCCATGAAAATGTTTCCCACGGCTGTAAACCCCGGGCAGGAATCCGCTGCACCAGATTTCTGAACAACCCCAGATGCAAAACCTGCTTATTTTACTTATTTTTTACAACAGTTTCGGGCTTTAATATCTAAATCCTATTAGAGACATAACTTCCTTTGGAGGGGGAGAGGGGGCAGGTCAGTACAACAAAAGCAGTTTGTGCGGTAGTATTTTGTAACCTCCAACTCACCCTGGACTTTCAGAGAGGCAAAATCCCACCACAAAGTTTCTCGGGCTAGGAAGCTGCACAACCTCACGCAACTCCTCCTGCTCCTAAAAGCTCTTCGCTCCATGAGAGGCTAAAGAAACCTCCCCTCAAGCCCCAGAGGGCTCTCTCAAATACCACTGGTGCAGTTTTTTCATCCCTGAGGTCTCTCACATTGGGATTTTTCTTGTTGGATGAAAAGATGGATCAGAGGGTCCCTCAAAAGCAAAATCAGCAACCTGCCCTTGCAAATAGAGATGGGAAGAATAGGGCAGAAATGATGGCCCAGTAGTTTTTGGGCAGCTCACATTACAAAGAGAAACTTTTGATTAGAAGATGAGCTACAGAGATTACAGCCTGTTTCACTCTTAAACCTAATGATGAGCAAAAGGCATAGAAGAGTTCCACCTTAAAAGCAGTATTGCTAATCCTTACTTAGGACGAGGTCCTAAAATAGCATCATCTCCCTTTGGAACTGGAATATTAAACAAATGATGGAACCATAGGGTACGAAGGTAGAAGCAGCTATTTTTATTGCTGATCATCTTCCAGCTAACACTCAGCTGGCTGGAGTGAAGAGGAAATTGTGTGTGAGTCTCTAGAAATATTACTTGCTTTATGGTCTGATTCCTAGAAACCTGCTAAACAGGGCAGGAAAGGCTGAGAGTGAGGTGGCTGATGGCACTGATGAGATGTAGGGAGCAGCAACAGCAGCTTTTCCAGGTACCTTGTAGTTTTAATCTCCTGAGTTGATCCACTGGATTTTAGTCCTTATATATTTGTGTCTGTGTTGAGCCCAGCTTCATTACGGAGCCACACTAAGGTCCTGAAGGTCCATGCCCAGGGAAGGCATGGCATGGCACGGGGGTGGCTGGCAGGTTTGAGGAGTAGTGGCAAGCCCAGAGAACCCAAGAGCTTTACTCTGCCTTTGAAGCCAGGAGCAAGGTCAGCACTCCCCAAAATACCTTCTCAAGAGGCTTCACCATCATCCTTGCCCGGGCTGCATTTCTTCCAGCTGCTGCATCCTCGTGGCGTGGATGGACTCCCAGGGGTACGTGGGAGACAAGGGGACAGGGTTGAGCAACATCGTCAGCGCAAAAAAGCTCTCTGCAGTGGAGAGAAGAGCCCTGAAAAATGAAAAAGGTGATTTAATCCACAACTATAGCTCCACCTCCTAACAAGCAAAGAAAATCCCAAATATGCCTGTTCTCTGCCCTAAAACAATGCCAAGGAGTTTTTGCTTTCTTCTGGGTATAGAGACACAAAGCCTTCGGTGCTGCAGTTTGCCCTGCAAACACCTGCCAAAGGACTCACCAGCCGGGCTCTTCAGTATCTTCAGCTCAGAGTTCACCAGCTTATCTCAACCGCAAAATCCTCGCCCGGTGTCCCAGCCGGTGTCCCTGCCCTGCCGGGAGCTGGTCATGAAGGTAAGTGAGGACCTGCTGGAGCCCTGCCGCTGGTGAGCCCAGCCTTGGAGTTTATGAGCCCATAAAATAAAATGCCTGTTAGCGACTGGTGCGGTACAAACCCGCCCCGAGGATATCAGCAGGGCAGGTCAGCCTTGAACCCCGGTGAGTTTTGCCTCTGTTTGTGTCAGGAGGAGATAAAACCAGGGGGAAAATGGCACAAACAGGGAGAGGGGAGGGTCTCCCTGCTCAGCTGCCAGCCACAACATGGAGTATTTTGTTGGGGAATACATACGTTCATGTCCTCCCACCCTAAGTCCTACCCAGCCTGGGACATTTGCCTACTTGCGATGCCCTGCCTTGTGTCCTGGTTTGGCCAAACCAGGACACCTTGGCAGGACGAAGGGGCCGGTGTGTGTCCCCCTCCCCTGGCCGTGCTTGCTTGTCATCTCTCCCCACGGCAGGGTTGCACAACGAGCTGCTGCAGAGCCTTGACAGCAGGTGACTCACACAGGTAATGATGTCCCCGTGAGATTAATTATAGAAACGGCACCGTTTATGGCCTTGGCGTTTCCAGGAATGATAAGGGAGGTGGGGGGAGAAGGAGGAGGTGACCTGAACTGATCCAAACTTCAGCCCTCACTCTTCTGGGGGACGGCAGGGTGCTGACACAGACCCCACAGCCACGGGTGAGCAGTGTCTGCTTCTAGCAGCGAGTGGTATCCCACTAAAAAGCAGAAGCATCAGTCGGTGGAGTCACAGAGGATGGGCTGCGAGGAGAAAGGGACCTTGGGTGTCTCCAAACCCCATCATAAGAGAACAGAGATGTCACCAGACCTGCAACGTGCGGCATGTCCAAGTATAAAGACGCTGACAGCCAGCTTCATGCTGAGCCTCAGGGGACAAGGCTGCAGTGGGGTCTCTCCCCATCTCCCAGCCTGAACCCTTTGACGTACAGCTCTGAAACATCAAAAATCAGGGAGAATATCAGCTCCCTCCAAGCAGTGGCATGGGGAAACTCAGGGTAAAACAGAGGGACTGTGCAAATGGGGAACTGCAGCGTTTGCAGGATGCTGGCAAGCCTCTGGAGAAGCCAAGGCCTGGCCCTGCTCCTGCATCCCGGGATATCTCTTTCACCGTCATTTCTCAGGCTGCTTGGATAGATCAGAGTTATTTTTAAGCCCACTTGCTTCCAAGAAATACTGCTGTCCCTTCCCGAGCGGCTGTGACTAATGGCACAAAGCCCATCGAGACATGCCAAAGACCAGGCAGTTTCCTCTGGAGTGTGCAACCTACCAGGTGCAAAACTTACCCCAAGTGTCAGAATTTAAACTCAAAAAATCAACCCAGGCAGGCAAAATTGCCAGACAATTCCTCCTGAGTCCTGGGGCTCAGAGAAGGGCTTCGAGTATCATTTCTGAGTGAGTCACATCCCTCGGGCGGGCAGTGAGGGGGAACCAGACGGATTCATCATGCAGCCTGACCGTGGGGACCCAGCCCCCCAGCACAAATACAAGCCGTGTTGTGTGGATGGAGGGCGGCCGCGGGAGCTTTCACATCACCCTTCAAAGCAGCCGGCAGCGACAAACTCTTTGCCTCTCACAGCCGTTGCTGCAGCAACTCCGCTGCCCGCTCTCCCACGGCGGGGCTGGCTGCTGCTGGCGTTGCAGACCAGCTGATACAGTGATGTGAAAAGAGGGGGAAAGATGGTCCTCACCCTTCTTCTTCCATATTTTAGCTGTTCTTTATGAAACGGCATCGTTCTGTTCTTTCCTGCCAGAAATCAAAGGATTGCAACGCACCCAGGAGGATGCAACTCATGTTACCCCAAAGGACCAAGGGAGTCTCACAGGCGAAGAGCAGATGCAATGACCGGTGAGGAAGAAGAAGGTCCATTAAATCATTCCTTGGTCAAACGTTTCTGTGTTCAAGCAATGTAATGTGGCAAACGGTGCAGGGGGACCATGAGGGATGTCAGGAGTGAAGCACGTCAGGGTTTTGTTTTGTGAGCACACGGGCAGCTGCTCTGTGCTTCCTCCTCCTGCCTCACCCTCCTCTCTGGTGGGTGAATCTGGAGGACTGTGTTAGTCCTTTCCCTCATGGTCCCCCGCTGTGTGGTGGGGACACCATCCTCAGTGGGGATGTCACAGCAAGGTCCCCCACTACCCCAGGGTTATAAACCACATGGGTCACCCTGCAGGGAACTGTGCAACGTGTGATGCTCCTGAGCCCCGAGGAGTTTTGCGGAAACTCAGAGTTGATGCTCTATTTTGTCTCAGCAAAATGTTTCCCTCCACTTGGGCTCTTAAACCCATGCTGTGCCTCATGTCTCCCTGCCTGGGCCATGGTGCTCGTGCTGCAGCTTTGCCACCACAGAGCCTCTCGGGTGAATCTTGTTGTGACCAGGATGAGCCCAGAGACCTCACCAGGGGCTTTTCACCCTTCTCATGGGTGGGTGGTCCAGGCAAGTAGAGCCAGGCTGGCCAGAAGGAGCCACCATTGATGAGATGTCCCTCTCCAGCACACCAATGCAGGTGGTGGCATTGCCTACAGCTCTTGTACCCACCTGGAGAGCCCAGCCCACCCACTCTGGTGCAAGGGGGAAGTTGAGCTGGATGGTGCCTGGTGTGGGGACACCACCATCTTTCTCTGCCCCAGCATCACTACTGACCTTGCGCTGGTCCTCCCTGGGCTAGGACCTGCCTGCCGGCTTCTTCACGGTGGGAAAGGAGATGGGACAACTTAGAGTGTTCCTGGGTTCGGCCGTTCCCAAAGCCTGGGATGCTGTGGAGTGCCTACAAAATATGAAGACCTTGGGTGAGAGGTGGGGTTAGAGCCTGGTGTCTTTAGGAAATGTGGGCAATAGAAGAAAGCGGTGGATGCTTCCCACCTAGGAGATCAGCACTCACGCAGCCATGAGCTTGGGGAATGAAAAGGAGTGGGGCTGGGGGAGCGGTTTGCCCCTCAGCTCACTGCCCTCCTGT